TATATCAGGGTGTCCCAAAAAACCCGAAAACTATTGAAATCACTTATTGTTAAAATTGAATGCCCTACCAAAAAGCTGAACGTAATGATGCGTAAAATATTGACAAGGTGCATGTATTAAAATTTAGTTAAGAACATCTTGTAAAGTGCGCGATTTTCTGCTCTTGGGAATTTAAAGCAGCTTCCTAAATAGTTTCTTTATGCATAAAATTTACTTATGTCAATCATTTATGCACTCGTGGGAACCAACAGAGTACTAAGGCATTCAAATTCTAACAATTAAATTGTTATTGGTGATTTCAATAGTTTTCGTTTTTTTGGACACCCTGTATAATACACGCTTGTAAATAAGTTTACTTGTTCTGAAGATGTTGTGAACAATACAACGAAACGTTAGCCAATAATTTTTTAATATTTTGTTATGTCTTGTTTGAAAATCATTTGCTGAGCTTTAATTCTCATTTTTATTAAGTGTCATTAAATAAATGCATAAATTTTGCTTTATGCACTCGCGTGTGCAATAATTTTGACAGTTGTGCTATTTTAAATTATCCTGGATCAGGGGGTTTCCTGTTTTGCTGAAGCTGCAGCCTGCACTCAAGCGGTGCTGGCCAAATTGGAAACCCCCTGTGCGCGATGTGTTGATTAATTGATTTCCCCGAACCAATCAGATGTCTAGGGTCTGCAGATTTTGACCCTATAGACATCTGATTGGTTTATCGGCAAACATCCATAAACGTTGTATTCTTATTTCTACTTATACTGTATTGTACATAAGTATATATAAGTATCTACTTGTACTTATTTCTACTTATTTCTACTTATACAAAAAGAGATTCTTCGTGGAAAAGTTTATGAAGAGAATTTGTTGGTTCTCGTTTCAAATGAAGTTCATGTTATTCCTAAACAGTTAGATCAAATGCGATGATTCTGTATAGTCGAGTAATTGAGCGGAATTTTGTCGTGTGTATGGTCGTGTTGTGCTGTATACTGTGCATGTTCAACTGTTTGCATGTAGTTTTTTTTTAAATGTGTAGCCTGTATTGTGGAATTCGTGAATATTTATGAGCAAAAATTCAGTCCTGGCAAGGCATTTGGGCTAAATATATTATATATTTATGTAAATATACATATTTTTTATATTTATGTAAATATACATAATACGCGGAACTATTAAATAATGATTTAAATAAGATTTCAGAATGGTCATGCAGATAGGTGGTTGGTGACAATGAACCCCTCAAAAACTAAATCTATGACATTTTCCAACAAAAAAGAGAAAGAAAGTCATCCGGTACTTTCAATGAGAGGCTGTCCTATTGATGAAGTCGTCTCGCACATTCATCTGGGTTTGACTTTTCAAAGTAATATGTCTTGGAATAATCATATTTTATCAGTTTATGAAAAAGCATCTCAACGATTAAATATGTTAAAACCATTGAAGTTCAAAATTGATAAATCAACTCTCGCTTGTTTATGCAAAAGTTTTATTCGGCCAATAATGGAATATGGCGATATTATTTGGGATAATTGTACTGCCGGGAATAGTGAGTTACTTGAAAGTGTTCAGTATCAGTCAGCTAGAGTTGTTACTGGGGCCATTAAAGGTACTAGCTCGAATAGTCTTCGTCAAGAACTGGCCTGGGAGGAGTTGAGCATTAGAAGAAAAATTCACAAATTATCTTATTTTTATAAGATAGTTTATAATTATTCTCCTCTATACTTAATTGAGCTTTTACCAAAATTGGTTAATGAAAGGTCTTATATTCCGTTAAGGTCTGGTCATAATATTAGTCAATATAAGTGTAGAACTGAAAAATTTAAGAAATCATTCTTTCCTTCCACGATTTCGTTGTGGAATACTCTTGATATTGACATTAGAAATTCAACTTCTCTTTCAAACTTTAAGTTGAAAATAAATAAGATTTATCATCCGCTTTGTTATAATAAATGGCTAAATTTTTTTCTTACGAGGAAGGCATCTGTTTTATACATACAAGACTAAGATTAGGTTTTTGTGCGCTTAATGACTATTTGTATATAATTAATTGTTGTAATTCTCCTTTATGTATATGTTGCCATCAAAATGAAACAGTTAAACATTATCTTTTATTATGTCCTCGTTTTGCTGCTCAACGTAATGAACTTCTTACCTCTGCTGCACAAGTTTGTGGAAAAGCATGACAAACGAGCAACGACAATGGAAAACTTGAATTTTTATTGAACGGTTCTGTTCAATTAAGTTTTGAGTTTATTGTTCGGTGCTGTCCAACGTTTTATTTTGGATACTTGTCACTTCTCCTAGCAATGCTTTGTGCGTTTATGTATCTTGTCTTTTCTGTAACACTATCTTATTTTGTTTGTTTACTTGTGTGTTATTTGGTGTAAATAATTTTATATATCCTTTTTTTTTTACATGTGAGCCCCCTCGATAAGCATGGCTTTTGGGGCAAAGTTTATATATAAACATGGCTTTTGGGGTAAAGTTTATATATAAATATATATATATATATATATATATATATATATATATATATATATATATATATATATATATATATATATATATATATATACATACAATGTAAAGTCTTAAACAGATACAGAACGTTCTGTATCATCAAACCTGAAAGTAATAATTCAATAACTGTCATTACTTTATATTTCACATGCAAGTTTTAAAATATGTACTCGATTGCTGGTTGTATTTTGAATTTGTAACTTGAACTGCTTAGAATAGACGGACCTGCCAATTGTCATCAGTAATTTGGAGGCACGTTGTATCAAAATAAACAGCCGATGCGCCAGTTATTCGAAATCTTCCCAGAGAAAATATTACATTTTCCTCTTCCAAATACAACAATGTAACATTGGCAAACACAACAAAATTGGTCAGGGGAATATGTTTTTGTTGAATGCGTTTGAGTACGCCGGCCTTCAGACCGGAAGTGTGAAACATTAATAAATTAGGTCATGGAAATAAATTCGACATGAGGTTTTATCCGCTTCGTTGTCTCCTAAAACTCTGACACCAGAAAACCCCTGAACCCAGGGTAATTTTAAATTCCCGGGACCTAAAATCTTTTGTCCTTAAAACAACGTCGACTTCTTGAGAAATTCAGAGGTTGCGCTTTTTTATACGCCCTGTATATATATATTGGCAGATGGGTAAATCAAAGCACCACTTTAATTCAGAGGCGTCTGAGCGGCACTAAAAGCGGGGGCACACTTAGCGCCTGCCCAAGGCGAGTGACATTCTAGGGGAACCCAGGGAAAATGCCCCCAATAAAAAAATTAAAACTAGAGTCTCTGAAATGTTATTTCCTGCAAATTAGAAGTAAATTTACATAGTTCTAAAACGTAACAATATGTCATAAATATCTCAAATTGTTTTGTCTACACGCGTAACTGAAATACTATCAATTAATTCACTTTGTGGTTTATTATTGACCATTGTTAAAACATTGGAGAGGGTTAAAAATGTTTAGTCCCCCTCCTACTAAAAAATCCCCCACTGCTTTAATTTAAGAAATGGGAACGTCGGACATGATGTAGAAAAATGAAGCAAAAAGAGACGAGTTTGATAATTACGTCATTTGGTAAGTTATTAAGTTAAGAATCCTATGCAGTAGTTTTTTCTCCCTTCACATGCAGATCAAGTTTGAACAGAAATGTAGCATGGCATATTTTAGAAAATAATTTAAAAATCGAAATTTGAAATGTCCTAAGTTTTCATAAAAACAAGATTTTCGTGGCCAACGTTTGCCCGGGTTTGTCCGTTTAGGCCTACAGCAATCTGAAAATTAAAAATTGTATAGAAATTAACAAATCGTTTTTCTCACTTGTACATTCACCAGTCACAGTACGAATTTGTCGTGGACTGTTACAATGACAACGGTATTTTCCTGGGTAGTTGACACAACGTTGACCACTACCACAGCGTGTGGAAGATGAACACTCATTCACATCAGCTACAAAAGAGAACGCATTATAGTTAATATGACAGAATGTACAGCTTAAGATTTTCAAGGATATTTTAGGAGGAAATATATCAGTTTTGCAGACATAACCCCCAGAATAACCCCGGATTTACCACAGATTTAGTACTGGATAAGTGCTGCAGTTTACAAACGCAGCAAAAAAGTCGGTCACTTCAGATGTTGACCAGTATCAGTGGCAAAGCCAGCCCGACAATTTGGTCATGCTATGTAAATATTTCCGTGTTCATAAACCGTGAAAACAATCAATTTCTATAGAAATGAATAATGATGATTTAAAATTTGCATAGCATGACCAAATTTTCAGGCTGGCTTCGCCACAGACCAGTACTATTCAATAATACAGTACAGGACCAATATATGAACTAAAAGGAACGTCTTCACCAGCCAAATCGAGTATTTGTGCAAATTTATTTAAAACTGTACATTCAATAATTATGCATTCAGTTCTTTTCAGCGCCGAAAAACATTAAAGGAAAAAAAAGTTGAAAACATAACCTGGAAGGTAATTAGGTGTAAGTAAAATGACCTTTGCTAAGATGTTCCTCTAAATGGAATCCTGTTCAGTTTTTCTGTACCAGTGAATAGTATGGTTGCCCCTATCCAGACTTCTTTCGAGGTCGACCTAACTATATTGTAATCACCGTCTTCCTAAAAAAACTCACCAACATTAGCAGCTGGAAGTGGCACATTATTTCTGACCAGAACATATCTATTCCTCAATGTCAACTTTTGAACGCCGGCTTCTGTAGAAGATACTAATCCAGCACGGAATTGTCTTCCAAGGTTGTCATTATCGAATTCATCTTGTGTTAACGTTGGCAGGAAATAGATATACAACGAAACCATAGTCGCAGAATTCGTTCCACTTCCACGACTAGAAAATTAGAAAAAGTTCATTACATCCACTTGTTTGAAGCGAAACAACACAGGGTATATCAGTAATATATCAGTATCAACAATTTGAAACAAAATAGTTATCTAATATGTTTATAAAACATGTTATCTACGTTATAGTAAATTAAGGATTGCGCAAAAGCGTGTCTTGTTTGACACAAGAGTATTGTCCTACACCAAACAAATAATAGCAATATTTTCTTCCGTTAATATGAATCTATTCGTGATACAATCTCGAACAGTTTGTGTCAGTGTACAGTAGGTAGCGACGAACAATTTGGACAATAGTTTAAAGTTATGTAGTTCACTGGACATTTTTAAGAGACATTTAAGAAACAGTCTGTTAGATAAATTTCTAAGTGGGTATAATCTAATTATTAGTGTACTTATTTATGTATCTCTTTATCTTTGAAAAGCCCCAATGATTAATAAAATATGTATGTATGCATGTATAACAAGACAGCTGTATATTGAGAGGGATACAACTACCTGAAAAATACAACGCAGAACTAACGACGTCGGTCGCTACTTCCCAACGAAGGATCTTCGCTCGAAACGTCAAAGTTCTGCTTGTATTTTTCAGGTAGATGTATCTCTCAATCCGCAGTTATTCATTCTTGACTTGAACAGTTAGTTTAAACATTGCTATGGGGTTGTGCAGGGTAAAATACGTTCCCACATACAGGCCTAGCTGGGAACGAGGTTGTGCACGTAAGGAACAAGGACCACGATAAGGACAACTTTTCGTGTGATATATTTTTCATCATCAATCACGGTTGCTTAAGTGTTCCAGTAATTTCTGCAACAATTCTATAGGAAATGACTTCTATCGAGTTTCCAAGCCATGACTGTCGGTGGACTGTGACTGGCTGAGAAGCACATTCAGCGGTCCATATTTTCCCGTAATGGACCGGCGGTAAAAACAAACGCACGCATTTCAAAATAAAACAGCAAAACTAATTGAAAATTATAATTGAATTTGTTATTAATAAGATATCTGCGACTGGTTTTGAGTGGAAAAGAATGAATACGTTGGTATTTTTTGTTTTCTTCGACCACATGTGTACCACGCTACTAATAATATGCATTTCAATCATGCATTTCTCATTTGTTTCAAGTATAAATGCCTATAAATGCCATATAATAAACTTTTTATTAACCTCGCTTGCTCGGTATGCAGAGAGAAATATCGGACTTCATGTCTTTTTGTACAAACCTCGCCTTACAGGCTCGGTCTGTACAAAAAAGACCTCGATCCGATATTTCTCTGTACATACCGAGCAAGCGAGTTAATAAGAAGTTAATATGCTGGGGAGAGGGGGGGGGGGGCATATACACCTCACTATTCGTAGCGAGGGGAATAAATATATTATTATCCCCCCCGCCGCAATTTGTTTGCCATGCCTGATAAAAAATTATTAAGCGTCAGTTTTGTACTTTCGCATAATTTAATGTCTGAAGCAGTTAAAACTCAAAATCTAAATTGATTGTGATGAGACTGAGATGCAAGTCACCTGCAGACCCCGTTAGTAACTTAGTAGACACTGACATATAACGGCAGATAATACCTGAAGCTTTTCAGACGAGAGCCCAAGTACTTGCTTGACAATACAGTTTCTTGGTACTGTTCATCCACCTGAAACAGTTTAACTTTTTATTACACCACACTATTTTTTAAGCCAGCTCTATATAAGTTATAACATGTTTTCAACCAGGGCAATATTTTCGTGTACCAAACTGCAATTATGAGGCGTAAAACGCCGAAACATGCATGCATGTCTGAAAAAACCTTTCGAAGTAAAACGACTATTTCTGCTCTATCTATATATTGATCTCTTTCTACTCTACTATTATCTATATGATCTCTTTCTGCTCTATCTATACTATATCGAGCACTCTTTCATGGTATTTCGTGAACAAAACCACATTTGTATATATATATATATATATATATATATATATATATATATATATATATATATATATATGGGCAAACGTAGCTTAAAGATATTCACTCAGAGTCAAAATTAAATCTCTCTGACACAATTAAGAACTTACTGCGTTCTCGATATCCACTAATGAATTGAGGTAATATTTGGAACTTGTGTCAGTTAGATCGTCGTTATAATCCAGGCCCTCCAGTACAATAAAGTCAAGTTCAAAAACATATGCATCTGAGGGAAAAATAGG